CTGTAGTTTCGCCTATTCGACAAAATGTTATAACATTATTCACATATCTTAGTTATTTTGGTTACTTTATGGTGAAATAAAACGGACTTCAAACCAAATAGGCATTTTATTTGTTGGATGGGAAGGTTTTTGTTGTCAACTATATACAGCACAAAATGTGGTGCCTTCTAATGTTCAGACATGGCTTTGTTTTAGACATTAACAGTTTTCTTTTTGGATGAAGTTGGAATTCAATGAAACTGAGACAGATCTGTGTTTCTAAACTGAACATAATAATGTGAAATTTATGCAAATTTTTTCATTTGAATATAAACTGTTTACTTCTTTTTTATTTTATTTTAATATCTTACTTAGTTTCACTTTTGGACACTACACAGCGTGGTCACAAGTAAATAGACACCATCTTTTCAGAAAAAATTAAATTTTTCAGTCATATTCACATGAATTGATATATTTATAATTTAATTAATATCTAGTAGATCTTCCTTTCGCTTCGTGGAGTTCGTTGATCCTTTGTGGCATCGTGAGAATCATCTCGTCAATTTCAGATTGTGGGATTTTCGCCCACTTTGCTTCAAAACTTGGAGTAGATCGCTCTTCGAAGTTGGTTTTTTTGTTGTTTCTTGACTTGTCGGTCGAGTATGGCCCAAAGGTTTTCGATGGGGTTCATGTCAGGAGATTGATTCGGCCAGAGCAACTTCTGGATACCATTTTCTTCCTGCCACTTTTGGGTGTTTCTAGCAGTGTGACACGGCGCTCCATCTTGTCCACGAAACCCGAGGAATAAAGTGGCAAGAGTCCTCCCTCCAATACTTCGACGTATTTCGCAAAATTTATGTTACCAACATACTCCACTAAACTCGATCTCCCACCAACCCAAACAGCTCTCCAAACCATCACGCTGAAACCACCATGCTTCACAGTTGGCTGCAATATGTTGAGCCAAAACTCTTGGCGAGGCATTCTCCAGACCCATATCTTTCCACTGTCGAGAATTGAGCGAATCTTGATTTGTCTGAGAACAATACGGTCTTCCAAAAGTCCAGAGGCTTGGTCATCATATCACCTGCCCACTTCTTTCGTCTGACTATGTTGGCAGGTCTTAATAAGGGCTTCCGTCTAGCTGCTCTGCAACGATAACCCAATCTGTGGAGAATCCGTTGAACAGATTTCGGGCTCATTACACCAACTTTGGCCACTTCTGCAGTCGTTAGTCTGGGATCCATTTCGATGCTCCTCTTGACAGCCCTTTTTGTCCTCTCCGATGGACCAGGACGGCCTGGACGTTGCTCAGTTGTTTCCTTGCCGTGTTTCCTGAACTGCACGATGATTCTGTTGACTGTCGAAAGT